TTGGTAGAGGTGAGAACTCTCTAGTAGCTGGCTACTTTGCTTCTCTGATCTTCAACTTTAGCCCCAATATCTGTCTCTGGACTTTTTATTATCAATACCAATTAGAATTCATGCTACACTCTTCCCAAATGACTCTAGCTTGTGTCCGGTTAACATAGAACTAACTGACACAGCCTTAGTGTAGCAAATATGTAATCTGATGAACAACAAAAGCAACAAAGGTTATTATCATTTTAAAGTTAGAGAGTAGGAAAGTCTCAACTAGACAGTGTGGTGAGGATATAATTTGACTAGTATATAACATTGAGAACTTTAAAGTAAGTTGAAACAAGTCGGTGAAACATCTTCTAACATGTGGACTGATAAATATGAAGACTAAATGAAATGAATACTAATTATTATCTTTGTGAAAAGTATTGAAATTACTAAATGAGACCATGGAATGTTAATTCACATCAGAAAGGATAATACGTAAGTGAACCAAACACAAGAAACAACAAGTGGCTTTCTTGTGTATTCTGTAAGTAAATGTTATTTAACTGAAATTCTCCTGTTTTATTTTCTCACAGATTTACATTTAAAAATTACTTTTTCTGAAGTCCTTTGAAACTTTTTCTTAAGCATAAAGCAATTTTTACTAAGATAGTCAATGGTATTTAGCTCATGGTTGATGACTTATGATCCTGAAGACATGCTGGGCAGTATTTATTCCTCTAAATTCAATACACATCCAACTATTGTAGGTATGACCTAGTATTTATTTAATTATCAAATAAAACTATGTATCAAGTGCCCTGAGTGGGTTAGGCAGTGTTAGAGTTACCTCAGTTGAATGACTTAGCTGTGCTTCTTTTCCCCGTGAAGCTTAGAGTCTAGAATGGAAAATAGAAACAAAACAAAATCATGATGACATTCAGTTTTAAGATTGATAAGAGAAAAGTTGAGAAGCCATGAGATTAACAGGGTAAAAATTGCATCTCAGAGGATGAAATAAGCTTCTTCACAGAAGTAAATTCCAAGTGAAATTTCCAAGAATGAGTAGAGACAAGGCAGAGAAAATATAGAGATGACTTCTTTGTGCAGAAGGGGAAAACAGGGAACCCTTGGACATAAGGGAACTGAGTATGTGCAAGGAGCTATTAGAAATGAGAGCAGGAGAACTCTGAGGTGCAGAGAACCTCATATATGCATGATGCTGTCAGAAATAAAAGCAGTGAGACTGGTATATCCAAAGAAAGCATGTGGAATGAGGTGAAACTGGAACTTGTCAAAGGCATGGACCCTAAGATTGGATGTACATAATTTCCTCTGAAAAATAAAGATAGAAATAGTTACTCCTAGAAATACCTGTCTCTCTGCATTTCACTGGGAAATTTTCTATTATACAGTCCTATGGTTCCAACATCTTGTATGACACCGGTCACAAGTGGACATCAACGCTTGTAAAAAGATAAAAAGAATGAATGAGTTGGTCTTGATCTCCCTATAGCCCAGTAACAACATTGTGAGTTACTGGGGACTCTGGGTTAACAGGACAGAGGAAGGAAGGTTTTCTTGTGATTATTTTTCTGCTTCCTTTTCAGGGTGGCATGTACATTAACAAGCAATTATGCTGACCACCAGGTACATTGACAGCCAGTGTCAGAAGGAATGTTTTAAGAGGCTCCCAGACAGTGGACTCCTCTATAATTAAAGCTTAAGTTTGGCCTACGAAGCCATCCAGCAAAGTCTCCCTAGAATACAATCAAATTTCAAGCAAACAGTCTGAGGTTACAGAGCCAAGCAACATAGCTTCAGAAAGAATGATACAGCTCAGTGGCACAGAAAACATGGAGAAGAAGAAGAGGGGAAAAGCCATGGTCCAACCCTAATCTGTAAGCTTGATGAGAAATAATGACATTTGGGGCTTTGATTAGAACCTGCTCTCAGGATGTTTCTCCTGCCTGCAGCCGTTTTGTTTTGATTCTGTAACTAGCAACTAGCCCTTTGCTCTCTGCAGAATTCAGGTGTATACACAACTCTTTTCACGAATGCAAACAAAAAATCCTTTGCAATTTCAAATGGTTTGCCCTCTCTACTGCAGTCCATTCGATAGTTTGACTTTATCCCTTGACTCTCTGAGGATAAACTTTGATCATCAGACTGCCCTGCTCCACCTCTGGTGTCTCACTGTTACCAGCAGAATAAAATAAAAAAGCTCTAAGCTCACTACACTTCCTACCTTCACAACATGCTTATCTAAACTCCTCTCATTTCTTCTCCAGCTGTTGGCTGTAATGAAGCCATTATTTAGCTTATTAGATGCAATACTGAACACAGCTGTTTTCCTGTATTCACTTTTTTCTTCCTTTTCATCCTCTTTCTTATTCTTTCCTCAAACAACTATGTCTACAAAAGAAAACAAGATTGCCTAAAGACCCTCCCAAATAATGAAAATCTAACCAAACATTCCAGGATTGCATTACTCTTCTTGGATAAAATGCAGTCATTTCTAAATGACTGCAAAGTTAAAAATATCTTAACACTCTCCTCTATGGAATGGACAACTTTATGTGGCAGAAAGACTTTCAGAGAAAACAAGTGACAAATGTAGATTTCCATGTCTCTAAAAACATTGTATTATACAGGTTTTGGTGGCCTGGGGATCTGCATTTGCACTTACATTATGCATATTATAATCAAAATGGTGCAGAGATAATACTTAAAATGGTCATCTGTATTGGGATGAAATTTCAATGTTTTAAGTTCCTTATTCTCAATTGTTATATTTCTTCATTCATGTGATGAAGGCAGAATTGACTTACATATCTGGTTTTGGTCAACTGAATTTTTCTGGAAAAAAATAAGCATTGAGAATAATGCTACAGTAGAAATGTGTGGCAATGTGTTTTCAGTACAGTCTGAAAATGCTTTAGGCCTGCTTAAAGTATCAACTTTTGGTGAAGTCAGAGTGACATTGCTCTACAGTCCTCCTCTGAACAATACACTATGGATTAGTACTATTGGGGCCAGATATCTTCTCTGTGAAGCATTTCTCTTCACAATAATGCAGAGTTCTTTCAGAAATACTTTGTAAGTGACCATTTCCACCCATGTTTTAAAACCCCAGCATTTCATTTTTCGTTCTGAGGAGCAGACCTCTTCTGTCAATCCAAATGGATTTGTCGGTTAAAAGCACACATTGAGGCAGAATCACAAAGAAGAAAGCTTTCTCCCTAAAATTGCACCAGTTACACTTAGAGACCAAATCATTCTATGGATTATCCTGCAAACATTTTCAGATATCTACTTCTCACGTGTTACAAGTTTTGACATATTTAATCAACAATTGAATCTTCATTTTATTTTGTCTTGGCTGAGGAAAGTTGGTTAATTTCAACCACCTGGAAGGTAATAATCATCAATGAGACAGTCGGAGGAAAGTGAATTTCGTAATGTGATTAAAAGGGAGAAGGAGGGGGGATGAAGAAAGAGAGGGGAGAAGAGGACAAAGGGAGGGAGGGGACTATATCCTCTTAAAAAACTATTTAAAAGGGGCTTGGCATTTGGAAAAATGTAAAAAAATAACTAAATAAAAATGAAATGAAATAAACAACCTGGAAAAAACACGTACAATTTTGTAGAAACCAAGTGGTTTAGTTATATTTCTATTGCTGTGAGACACCACAACCCATTTTCATTCAAACTAACACACACACACACACAGTGTCTTGACAAAGTTCTGCTTTGCTTCAAATGAGCAACAAACATTATTAAAAGGTGTATTGGCTGCTTCCTTGAAACAGACAGGAGGAAAGACCATCTGCTAGGAGGAAAAACGAATAAAGTTCAGAAACACATGGCTTAATTAGTTTAAGGGAACAATATTAAACTTTATGATGGCTAATTTTACTGGCTATTTAGCAACTTTAAATTAACATATCCATTCTCTTCAGTGAAAATTAAAAAAGCAGAGCATATGTATTCCTTGTTACTTACGTATAATTAAAGTAATAACCTGGGATTAATTATTATAGACACAATAAATGATCAACATTTAAGCCAAGAGGCAGGAAAGAGACAAGCAGGTTTTAACAGTAACAAATTGGCTCCATTTTTTTAACCAAGCTTTCATTTTATGCAGCAAACATAGAGGCAAAAAATGGCATTGGCCAGACAGGAACACCCATTTGAGAAAGTTGACTATGAGGGAACTTTTATACTGTTGTGCTGTATTAAGTGTAAAAGAACATGAATTATGAAGCAACCATAAATATCTACTCAGTTGTATGCCCAGTTTTGTTATATGAGGTTTAAGGTGGGGTCTTCCTATGGTGCCAGGTTAGTTTCAAGGTCTGAAAGGAGTCTGAGGCCGACTTCTGCCTTGGTCCCTGGAGTTGCTATGACTATAAGGCTATCCTGCTATGCTGGGTAACAGTCACCATGTTTACACATTCCTAGTGTTCATTCGAGGCTCAAGCTTCCTGTTCACATTTCCCACTCCAGAAGTGCTCTATTTCTTGTTGTTTCTATAAGAGAAAGCTCCAGAGATGAGTCACTCTCTGCTTACACTTTCCACCTCTCTGACTTCTCTCTTCTTCTCCCTGATTACACTTCTATGTGATCAGAACCCCCCCCCCCTTTATTTCTTTCTCCTTATCTGTGTTGAACTCACGACCATACACATAGCGGTTAAGAAGAGGATAGAGTAATTAGAGTTTTTGATGGCTATAATCTGAAAATTCAGCCCTAGCTTGCCATCCTCTTTGTGTCTCTAAGCAATTTTAATTATTAATCATAATTATTTTGTGTGTGAATGGCATGTGAATGCGGACACATGTGTACCATAGCATGTGTATGGAGGTAAGAGAGTAAGTCTTAGTGCTGGTTCTCTCCTTCCACCTTTATGTGGGTTCCTGGGGTCAAAATCAGTTTGTTGCACTCAAACAGCAAGCACCTCGTACTTGCTTAGCATCTTATCTGCATCCCAATAAAGTTTGGGAGTTTTATTGTTTTTCATTATGGGAGAGGGCAAATGCAGTTCCCCATTTTCACAAATTATGCAGTGTTTTTTCTCATATTTGAGGAAATCACAGTACTCAGCACGTCTCTAGTGCAATGGACAAGCTTAGCCTAGGGGAAACCATCAGCATCATCATGGTATTCCCCCTGCTAGGTAAGTGTACATCTCAATGATGTCAACACATGAACCCTGCCGGGTTTCTCACTTGGCCAACCCTGTTGGAGAACACCCCCCTTCTAGCTTGTCTTTGGAATCAACCAATTCCAGAATCCTGTTAGAAAGGTTCCTACCAGTTCTATCTTGCTTACAGGATCCTATGGACATCACAGATGCTGCAAAGTCCTTGATATCTGTCTACATTCATATGCACCATACTCTGCACAATGCCCCCTTCCCCTACAGACCCAAGTGATTCACTCTCCTCTCTCACACCTGTGGCTTCCACTACCGTGGGCTTTCTTTGCTTGTTCTCAGAACTATCTCCTGCCCTCCTACTCTGCTCTGGAAACTGGAAGCCCTGCTCACTGATTCTAGATAAACTCACCCAATGAAGAATACTGGAAAGTGACAGAAAAGTAGAAATCCAAGTGTTCGCCCTCTTACTGTCTTGAGTAGTTTCTTTTTGGCAGAAAGAGCAACTCAAGTGTGCTTCTCTCCAAAGCCCATCTCTGGGCAGAGCAGCCCTGCCCATATTCTCATCCTGTTCTGGTAACTGGCACGATTACTTTGATAACTAACCCACCTCCTCCTGTGGTCTTTCCAAGCTTCCTATGCATCCCTTTGTATATCATGCTTATGGCTGCTCTTGTAGCTTTTCTAATTACTTAAATCCTACATTTTCATTTCTTCTGTTGAACTATACAGGACAGCTTTCATTTTCCTGACTGAAAGCTTAGCAACACAGAAAGAAATGGTTGTGTTTTGTTTTCCCTAACTTTATTTCCAACAAATGACAGAAAGGGTACTTTGAAGGAGGAACATCTGCCTTTTTCCATTGCTTGTGAGGCCTGAAAATAGAGGCTTTTAAGGAAACATGATTTTGTGACATCTTCTATCTGCTCAGATATACGTTTGGAAGAAACTGTTCAAGTAGCAGTCATGCTCTTCTTCACAGACATGTTTTTTCTTTATGGAAAAAGACAGCAATTTTTGTCATAAATGAGATTGATTATCAGATAGGAGGATACCGAGGAGGAGGAGGAGGAGGAGGAGGAGGACGAGGACAAGGAGGAGGAGGAGGACAAGGACGAGGAGATAAAGGCTGAGTATCAAATGACTAGCATGGTAGCTGACATCTTTTTCCCATCCCCTGCCTGTTTAACTATAAAAATAAAAGAAAAAGAAAAGGTACTTTGATTTCCAAATGTAACTAATATCTAACTCAGTATATTGCTTAAGTACATGCTCCAATTTCTGAATGGAATTAATTATACACAAGACTAGTAGCCCTGGGTTATTGTCAATAGCTGCTAAAGCCCATAGAAAAAAACACATCAAGACAAGAGATACAAATATATGAGCCATAAGTCCTCCAGGATCTGTGTCTGTCTGGTTCTGTTCTTCTTTCCAGGATACTTTTCCATCTTCATTTGCTATACATCCTCACATTGCTAATTAGGAAAAGTCATAGAAACTTACAAAAACTATTTCAATTACACAAAATAAAGGCAGAGTATGTTACCTTGTAAAAGCCATCCATCCCATGAATCTCAGGAAGAGAAAATGCAGTCAAGTCTCAGAACCAAGACCAGGAGACTATCAGATAGCAGACGAATTCTGTGCCTATATCACTCTCCACTAACCTTGGTTTTACATGGTCTAAAATTTGCACAAATGAACTCTGGCTTCTCTGTGAGGCTAGTAGTGATGCTTATCGCAAATCCTTGATATCTAACCTAGCCAGCATTCAGTTCCCAGTAGCGTGGGGGGCTGCCAATGGTCTTTAAATTCTCACCCTAATCACAGAAACTCCATCTGACCCAAGACCAGTTAGGTGTCTCCTTCCAGTCATTTTGGTTTTTGTAAGCAAAGAAGGTCATATACCACAAGCAGTATTACACTGATTGGTCCTATCTGCAAAATAATCATAAAAAGACCAGATGGTTGCAGTGGTGGAGAGAACACCTCTAAAGCATCTCATCTTGGTAAAGGTTTGTTACAGAGGTATGTTGACCTGAATTCAGATCCGATGCTGCCACATAAAAGTTGAGCACAGAGGCTCATATCTCTAACCCTAGCATGGGAAGCAGAGAAAAGACAGGCAAGTGCTCAGAGTGAATTGGCAGATAGTCTAGCCATTGGTGGCTTTATTGATCATATGAGAGCCTATTATTGCCCTGGCAGGGAAAAGAAAATATGTGTTGATCTGAATTAAAGGTCTGAACCTGAGAATTGATCTGGGTAGAGTTCTAGTAGGATTGATGAAGACAAATATAATTCTCAATATGTTCTAGTAAAATCTCTGAGGCCTTGATACAGAAGAATACATAAGTCTTATAAACATTCAGACCAAAGAGAAAGTTTACTTTGGAGATAGTAAGGATCAAGTAGTCAGTCACAACACTGAAGACAAAGGACCTCCAGGAAAACACACAGGAGGGGCTGCAGTTCAGGGACCACCACCAGTCAGGATATAGCTCCCCAATAAAGATATGAGAAAACATAGTCTCGGACTTTAGTGAATGTATCCTAATGAATGTCTAAAGTGAAAAAGGTTTTTTAAGTGCTCTGAACCAAGAACAGGTATGCCCAAACTGAAATTTTTAAGAGGAAAATGATATAATAAAAGATGGATAAAAGATACAACATTGAACATGAACTCAGTATAGACAGTATAGACTCTCGGGGAGCTGGTAATCTCTAAGCCAAGAAAGGATTCAGGAAGCACAGCAGACACCTGTAAAGAAGATTAATTTTATTGAACTATCACAGAAAATGAACTAATAAGAAGTGGAAACAGGGAGATGATGAAAAAGCAACATTCATGAAGAATTATGAAGTGGTAGAGAAGGCAGAAGGAAATGGGGAAATAAAAGTAGTTTCAGATCATTGTCCTTTAGAGAAAATAACATTTTGTAGCAACATTTTTTAATGTAAAACAATAATCATCAGCATTGTGTTAAAATAGCAGAAAAAGTAGGAAGCATGAAGAAGGTACCCATTGCTGGCCTAACTTGATCCATTTTTTTTCTTTTCTGGCTCTACTTCATCTCCTTAAACTTTTGTCCACCCACAACACTGAGTCATTCTCTGTTGTGGTTACCATGGACTCTAGGGAAATGAAGACTGATCAATAAGTATCTTAACAACCACAGATGGTCACTACTAACACACAAAGGGAATCTCGCAGACCTGATCACCACCCTTAATGAATTCTATCACCAGGATGCTAAGGCTGCCTCCTAGGACAGAAGTGATCCCTTTGAGGTAGCCAGACTGCTCCTCCAAAGCGCTCTCCAGAACCATATGTAAAACCAAAGCTGAATGATCAGTCAGACTCCTGGCCTTACCAAGATGTCACCATATCAGCCACATCCTAATTTATCCTTTCCTTCCTTTTACTAAAAAAATCTCAAAGGCCTAAAGATGAATTTGGAGTCACTGAATCCCTTCATGTGTTCTATCCAACAAGACCAAATTAACTAAATTTCCTTTCTCTGATCTTCACCATTCATCTATTTATTTTTCATATTAGAACCATATTCAAAACAATACTCCTAAGTAGAATGATATAGGTTACAATGTATCTATCAACAGATTAGTGGAAGATACTGTGCATACTAAAATTGAAGAGACATTTCAATTCTGACATTCTCAAGGCAAAAATGATAGTTGATACTTGGTAATTTTTAAAAGGTTTTATTTTATATTAATGTATGTAGGTGGGGTGGTGATGCGGGAAGTCCTTCTGTGTATATGTTTGTCTGATTGGTATAAATAAATCACTGTTGGCCAATAGGGAAGCAAAATAGGTGGAATTAGAGTTGAGGAGGATTCTGAGAAATGTAGTGAAGAGTAGGGTGTCTTCATGTGATCCCGGGGAAGAGAAGACATGTCAGGATGCTGCTCTTGGAAAGATAAGTCCTTATAGAAATATATATTAGTACTTATGGCTCAACACTTAAGACATAACTAGCCAGCGAGAAGCCTTGGACATTGGTCAACAGCATTGTAACTAATAGAGTCTCTATGTGTTATTTGGGGTTGATGCAGCACTGGGACCAGGCTATCAGGAAGAATGCTCGTTATAGGGTGGGATATGTACACATTAGTGCAGGTGCTGGCATGGTCCCGAAGACCCTGAACCCACTGGAGGTGCAGCTACAAACACTTGTGAGCTGTTTGGCATAAATACAGATAACCATCCCTCCACAAGAGCATATACTGTTCTTAGCCACTGTGTGATTTCTGCAGACCATGAGACATTCTTAAGAGCACAGAAGGAATTCTGGGAGATATGGGAATTGTGTATAGAGATATTACTTAAAACATACAGAGAAAGCTTTGAGTAATACCTTAAGTCTGTGACATACTGTTGTCTCTGGTGTCTGCTGACTTTCCTGGCTGGGTATGAATTCCTTCTACTTCTTCAAGCTATCTATGACCTTTACCACACAGAGGAAATGGTCAGTTATCTCACTCCAATGATGACTTCCTGAGTTCTCTTGAGTTGACAACAATTATGACAACTCATTGCCTGTTATAACTTCCTTGTCTCTCTACAATTAAAGGCGGCTTATCATATCTCAGAGTCAGAATAGAAACCACATTAATTAGACTTATCTTGGATCTTTTCTTTGTGTTTTCTTTTTTTGCCTCAAACTGCTATTCACTTAGGTGACAAAAGCCTGGAAATATATGGTTATTTATTTTAGGACATAGGGAATTCAAGTCCAAATTAGAATCTGGGTTTTCTGAATAACAAAATAATGCACAATCTATTGCAATACATTTATCAAAAAACTTTTTTACTAATGGAATAAAATTGAAATACAGCTCTTTGTACCTTTGCCCACTGGTATAAAAACGTACTGAAATTTAATAAGAATTTTAAAGAAAATTTCCCCTACAAATTATCCATGAATAACCTGGTATGTATTTAAGATGGATTTATCTAAATTTCTTTATCCTAATAAATGTTGTTTTAAATTTCTTATTTTAT